AGTCCCCCTCACCTTTGCTGTGAGAGTGGGGTTGTGATTTCATTAGGCATAAACCATCCCCATCAGTGGCAAGTCACTAAAATTGCCTTAGGTCTACCGGAGTTTGATATCCTGTCACCTCTCTTAGACTACTTCTTTCTAGAGACTGTGCCGGGGGAGCCAGCATTCCCCATTTGTCTCGAGAGGTGGATGCCAAACCATTTCCTTGTATCTTATGCTCCTTAAATATTTCTTTGGTGCCTATTGCTAGTATCTTGGAGCTGAATCAAGTGCAGTCTCTCCAGTGCAGTGTCCAGGGCAAGGATCATACCAGTGTGCCCATCTGTCACTACCGAAGGAAGGCTAGGAGGACAGCCCTCCTGGGAGGTGGTGAGCATCAGGCACGCTGGCATGGCCATGTCGCTTGGTTGCCCTTGTGACTTTGCTCCCCTTTCCCCCATGTGCGTTGGAGCCAGTTCTCAGGTTAGGGTCCCGGCTTGAGGGTTGTTGTTGCGGTTGGAAATGATTTGAGTTGGTCACGTTGCAGCAGTGCCTTTGAGGAGTGAAGAGTTGAGCCTGAGCCATGTCCAATAAGCAAGCACCAAGCTGATGGGAGTCGCTCTCCTGCAGTGCACTGCTATCCTCATTTCTCAATGCTCTGCAGTTGGGAAGCTAGGTGCACAGACTGGATTCCCCTTGGATCTAGTGGAGGATTAGGGTCCCTGACGGAGGATGCCCTGTGCTCCGCAATCTCATATGTGCCTTAGAGGATTCACGCTATCCGGGTTGTGCCTGTTACAGACCACAGATTTTACACCAGCCAGCTATGCAACCAAAAAAAGCAGTTTAAAGCCAGCACTTTTGTCTTGGGCTGAAAACGGAAGGGCAAGTGGGCAGAAGTGCCTTTGAGCAGTTTCAGACCCTTTTTACTTCTCCCCTCTTGCAGCGCTAGTTCCGTATGTGTTGGTCTCCTGCTAGTATTGCTACCGAGTTGTTATAGTGGAACACAACTTATGCCTGCTCTGACACTCTGGCTGAAAACTAGTTTGTCGTTGTCGTTTTTTGAAAGGTTAAAGGGTGGAGTGGTTTGGAGTTTCTGTTTAAATAAATGTTTAAACTCATTATCCTGTGTTCAGAGTCTTTTTTTTTTTACCAAGAGAGGAAGGGGAAATATGCATATAGTCAGCTGGCTTCATGACATTCTGTCATGAGGGACAAGGGGCTTGCAGCTTCTTCGCTATGGGGGAAAAAAAAGTCATGTTCTGTGTCCCTTCATTTAAAAAAACAAAAAACAATAAACAAACAACAAACCAATTCTATTCTCTTGCTGCTGCATCTCTTCCTAGTGACGTCAGGGGGCTTGTGTGTGTGTGTGTGTGTGTGTGTGTTTATTTCAACAGTTTGAGTGCCAAGTGGGAAATGAGTAATGGGAAGAGACAGGCTCAAAGGGAAGAAATACCTGTTTCTCTCGGAACAGTTTCTACTAAGCATTAAGGCCTGCAGAAGGGAGAACCTGCCTGACACCTGCTCAGCCAACTGTTCCTGCATGCTCTTAATGTCTGTCACTTCTAACTTCTTATCAGGTTTTCTAGTAAATTGTGAAATGTCTTGAGAGGCAGAGCTGGGTTAAAGACTTAAACTTAGTACCGGTCTGGATACTGAAGATGCAGTGTGTCTCTGAGAGGCGACTGTACTGCAGTAGCATAAGAGGAGCCTGACCTGGTGTGAGTAACATGGCTTGAGTAGTGCCAGGGCAACACTAATGATGATAGAAAAGCAGCAGGGTGTGCTGAGCCTGATGCTTTGGCTAAACTGTTACTAAGTTTTAAACCAACTATTGGAGACTTTTCTGGATACTGCTGTCTGTCTTACCTGACACAATAGCTCAGCAAAGAGGGGTGAACTGCCCACGGTTAGCTCCAAAACAAAGATAACAAGTGAAGCCTGGTGATTTAATTTCAGTAATTTTTGTTTAATCTACCATTTCAATCTCAGTGTTAGCCGTTGGCCTGTCACTTAAGAGAAGTCCCCAACAGATGGATTTGTTTTACAGTATCAAAAGCTTTTTTGTGTGTACCTACCCCAGTCGCCATTTGCACTCTGCTAACTTTTAGGGTCCACTAAACACAGTCAATAAAACATGGTGCAAGGGAAATGGATTTAGTACCACTGCCTGTCCTGTAATACTGAATTTCTTAACTACTCTTTGTTTAATTCAATTACACCTTTAATTCAAGGAGCTTCCATAAAGCTTCCAGTTTACCCCTTTCCTACCTCTTGTCAGCTCTTGCTATCTTCTATTTCAAAGCTCTGAAGTTAGAGCAATTTGGATATAGGAAATTATTTTCCCTTGTTTCGAGTCTGTTTTTTCTCTCCTCTCTAGGTTTGTACATTCATACCTGCCTGGCACAGTGCAGCACTGACCCATTCTGGGACCTTCATGCTTCTCTAGGATGTGCCAAGGGATTGGGATTTCTGCCCACATATCTATAGAGCAGAAGCTCTCCAACTTGTTTCAAGAGTCTGGTCCACATGTTGCAGGCTGGAGTGTTTCTTCATATTCAGCTTCTGACAACTACAGTTTAATCTAGTCACTTTTTCTATGTTCCCATGAGCTGCTGCTACATTACTGAAGGAATTGCAAAAGGAGCTGCTGGAATTTTTTTGTTCCTTGTTTGCTTCCTGTTGCTACTTTCTCATACAAAGTAGTCATTCTTACTTTGAGAACACAAACCACTTTGTGACCATTTAAAACAACTTTTACACAACAGAACTAGTCTGTTGTGTAAAACTAGTATTAAAAATCAGAATCTGGAAAAATAACAGAAATTTGCAGGAACTGCAAGTATAAGTAGATGATTCTCTAAAAGGGTCTATAGGACACATTTTCCCCCAAAAGACCCTTCAAGATGTGTGTGACAAACAAAGACCTTTAGCATGAGGCCAAAATCACTAAGAACTAACTTACAACTCAAGAAGAAAGCAAAAGAAGGGGTATATTTTTGTCATAATTCCCTACCATTGCAGCAACTAAGATGAAAATAAGCAGATGATTCAAGGAAGGGTGCAAGTCTTGTATTTTAGAGGTCCATAGCAACTTGACCTGCAGGAAAACTCCATGTTTTTGTATCAAAACTAATCGTTGATTTAACCCTGAACATATGAGTGAAACAGGTAACAGGTTTTCTGATGTGAAGTTCCTTAGTGTACTGTCTGGGGGCATTTGTGGGTTTTTTTAAACTGTAGCCGTTCTTAAACATTTTGGATGGAAATAAAAAAAATAAAAATTAAAAAAACCAGAAGCCAAGTTAGGAATTAAGGGAAGGTTGCCATGGGAAGGAAATTCCTTCTCAGCTCCTGAAATGATACACTGAAGCACAGAACGGTTGCTGATCTGTTCTTTGCACTTTATACAGGAAGCTTGGAAATAGGAACAAATGCTCTGTATCACGCTTCTTAATGTTAACTCTTGCCATATGCTCCTTTCCGTGATCTTCTCCAAGTCCATCTTGAAACAATATAGGTTCCTTGCCTGTGCTAATCTATTTGGAAGGTTTTTCCATGACCTCACTTCTCTACTACTCGCTACTACTTAGAAACCTAATTTCTAGCCTGACTTATTCATGACCTATTTTTTATTGTGTGGCATTATTCTTTAATTAAATATTTCTTCTTCCACCCTTTTCCAACTCTGAGTCCCACCTATTGTATGTGGTAAGTAACACGTTGGGATGGTTCTTCTGTTGTCTCGAGTGTGTGGCCGGTTCGGAGTATCTCTGCCGTTCTATGCACATGAATTGACATGTGGACTCAAACAGTAAGTGCCTGCTACTGCCAGCTTTTATAACCCCCTGACCTCCTGATCCTGAGCTTCTTGTGTTAAGGAAGCATTTAATAATACTCTTCCCAGTTCTCCTTTTCTAATTCAAACCATGTCACACTGGATTTCTAAATGGTAGTGTTACAGATCTTCAGCTGGTAAGGCATAGCTCCAGGACTGTCACCAGCATTCTAGAAAAGCATCTAAATAAACTCTTGGGCTGCTGCAGAACAAGTGTGGAATAAAGCGACCTACACAGCTTTCATTATTCAACTGCACAGCCCTACAATGAATAGGACACAGCATGAGCAATGACCAAGCAGCAGCTCTGCATCCTGTCGTCTAGCGCAGATACCAAGGACAGAAGAATGCAGCAGACTCTGTGCTGCAAAAAAGTGAACTGCTTACACAGCTTTCTCCTCTCCTTCTGTCTGACTTTTCCAAATGCCTTGTCTAAATGCTAGTGTTGAAGAATGTAGAGTCCTCTCTGTGGCAAAAATAGAGGAACCCCTCACATCCCAGTCTCTTATAGGTAGCTACAATAAAAATGCTACACCAGCCAGAACTGCTGTCACTGTTAGCATGTTCAGGGTGAACATCTGCACCTACGGAGCAGTAGAGCAAACAGAAGGCAGATGCTCTGTTTGGCCCAGCTCTTCTTGTCATGAACAGCACTGCTCTATGCTTTTGGAGAAGAAAAAAAAAAGAGTCTGTAGCCACTGATGAGCTAAAGGAGAGCAGCTCTCTTCACATCAGACATCACTAGTTAAACAAACAAACAAACAAAACCCCAAGCCTCCCTAACCTACAGGGAAAATACTATTCTGAAGAACAGCCCCTTTCTGATGGCTGGTTTGCTTCTCACCGCTGTCCTGCTGACAGCCTGTAGCAACCACCTTTCTTCCCTTCTCAGCTGACTGAACAGCAACAGACTTACACCCACACTGAAACTCCATGTTGAACTCACTGGATGGAAGAAGCAGGCCCCAGAGGGGGTCCCGCACAGGGCGATCCTGGGCACAGGTCAAAGTACACGAGTTCTAGTATTCTGCTTGTATGTCCTGAGCTGTTGCCTTGCTGTATGTACGAGCTCAATACTCACAGCCAGCATTGAGACTAGGGAAAGTGCAAGTGTCTGTGGCTGGAAACCTAGCAGAAAACAGGCAGGGAATTGCAGCAGCAGGTACAGTTGGGCACCACCTCAGCAGCGCCTCCTCTGCGGTGGGGGTGGGGGCCTATTTTTGATGGTTTTGCATTTGGGAATATGTCTCTCAGCTGCTTGGGGAGCAAATCGGCGTCTGCAGTAGGGGCAGGCAACGTAGTCTGGGTTTTCGATGGGAGGCAACGGGGGTAGGTCAGACACCTTCCCTCCTTTGGAGAGGACTTGCTGCACCTGGCGAGCCTGGCGGAGGGTCTGGATGAAAACCTCGTGCTTCTGTCTCCAGTTGTTCTTTCTGGGTGGCTTATTCTGCAGAAGGGAAAGACAGTCAGAGCAACTGGCACCACTGTCAGCCTCCACTCTCAATCTTATGCTCAGGGTCCAACTCGGGTCACCTGTCCCTGGGCATTCCCTTTTGATGTAAAACCCTCCCTGGGAAGCTGAGTCCTACAAAGGGGATCAAAAAGACCAGCACCAAGGAGGAGTTGAAGGAAATACTGATCGAGACATCAATACTTAGAAAAAGCTTGAGAGTAACCAGAAAAGTCAGCAGTAGGTCCAAGGAACTGGAGATGGTTGCTATAGTTGCTTTGCAGGAACAGAGCTGCATGTTTCCACTGCCTTTGTTTTAATAATCTGTGTTATTACCTGCATTTTCAGTCAGTTCCCTGCAGCCCCTAATGTCACAGAGCTTTACTGCAGCAGGCCCAGTGTGCATCCTGAGCATCCTGACTACAGCAAGGAGTGAGCTTTCTGCAGGAGTACACCCTTGACACATTACAAAGACAAGTCTGTTAGGACCCCCGCCCCCCATCTATTAGATTTTAAATGGATCTACTTATCCACCTGGCACAAACGTTTCAGAGGCAATAGCTGAATTGTATCCCTTAGCCCTGTGTACGTGTGAAGGCACTCACACCTCAGTCAGAATTAGATGTTGAGGTGAAAGGAACATGAGCAGTAGATGTGGATCAAGGGAGGCAAAGGGACTGCACATTACCTGAGGCCTCTCTGAGCTCTTCCATCGCTGGTACTGTTCCAGTTCTGTGCCCCTAGCTCTGGCCCTGCTGGAGTCAAACACTTTCCTCTTGGAGCTTTGGCTCTTGCCACAGATACTCATGTGCTTCTCAAGCCTGGTGCAGAGAAACTTACGCCCGCAGAAGCTGCACTGTCCGAGCCCCCCCTGCTCCACAGCACTGGCAGCCTGCACATACAGCACCTCTAAAGATGGGTGGTCACCAGAATCTTGGTCTGAGAGGGCCAACAGAGAAGGGCTATGTTTTGGGGCCAGCTCTGAACAAGAGGCTAAATGCTCCATTGGTATGCGGTCTCGAATTTTGCTGTTGCTGGCCACCAACCGCTCCTTCTTGAGTTTCCCCATAGCCAGCTCTTGGGGGTAGAGGGTGGTGCCAGGCTTGGGGATAGTGACCTCTGCAGACTGCACCCCACCAAAGACCCCATTGCATTGCCTGACTGCAACTCTGAAAGTTTTCTCTTCAGGGTGCCTTGCAGCCTTCCACTCATGGGTCCTCTCTGCTTCTCTGTTTCTTCTCTCCTCTGCCTCGACAAGCGCCTTCTCTCTTTGAATCCTTCTAAGCTCCTCCTTTGTTCTCCTCAGCTTCTCTCTGAGGAGGGCCTCTTTCTTTCGAATTTCCTCTTCTAAGTGCCGTCCATCTGCCTCCAGCTTTAGGATGTAGGCCAGCTCTCTCTTGTACAGATGGGAGGCTGACTGTTTAGGCTCTGCTGTCCAAGGAGAGAGCATTGCAGCTAGCTGAGACCTCCCTGCTGGAGGCTTCCCTTTGCTCTTTGAGCAAGGCCTACTATTTGGAGCTTCCTCCACATACAAGGAACTTCCAAGCTGTGCTGTGTTAACCACTGGAACACTCACACCCTTGTGGTGAAAAATTGGTTTCAGAGGATGGGCACGGTCCACTCCTTCTTTGCATCTGGCTACTGATTTAGCTGGCAGAGTCTTGGTCTGGCTGGTGAGATACTGGCTCTGCAGTCCAGCTGAACAGAAGCCTCCATGCCTGGAGCTGTGTTGACTGCTTTCTGCAGAAAGACAATATGAATAGTTTCCGTTCTTCCGGGCACAGAGATCTTTTAAACTTTCCCCTTTGTCAGGGATGAGTTCATGCTGAAAGTTGTTCTTCTGGTGTTCTACCCGGGAACTGGGAACAAGCTTAGTAGCTGCCACCACAGAATCTACCGGTGGAAACAAAGCCATTCAGTGCCTGAGAAAGAGACTGAGGTTAGAAGCAAAGTCATTACATGCTATTTGATCTAAAACTGGACAAATTTTTTCTTAACAGTCTACATCTGCAGGCAACAATGAGAGGCTATAATAAATATTAGCAAAGGTTTGGTAACTTTTCTGCTTTCTGTAAATCTTTATGTTCCTTCCACCTGCGAGCTCCCATGCTGCCTCTTCCAGCCCCAATCGTTTATGCAGCCAGATAATGATACTCTTATTTTGCTCTCCGTCTGAGCTCTGTTTCGTTGTTGTAGCAGCAGAAATATGCTGTACAGCCAGGGAAATTATTATACTCCCCCAGGGCGTATCCCACAACCTGTCCCTTCAGTTTTGGCATTGTAGATCCGCCAGTGTGGCACACAGGTCTGACACGCAGACGACCGGTAAAGCTCAGTACAATCTTCCCGTGGCTCGCTCTACCACATCCCCCGAGGTGTGTCAGGTACCCAGGCCAGCGGCGCGGGGCGAGCAGGTTACCTGCGGGGCTGCGGCCAGCGCTCCGCCCGGCCTCCTCGGCAACCTGCGTCGCCTCCCGTTTCGCTCATCGGTCTCCCACGGCCCAAGAGACTCGGCACCTCCTTCTCCTCCTCCTCCCCACCACCCTCGCCACGGGGCAACGCGGAGCTCTGCCCCCCGCCCTGCGCCTGCCACCGCCCCGGGCGCCGTGTTGACGGCTGTTGCCTGGAGACAGGCACGCGAACGCCAGTTCCTGCGCCGCTCTCG